CGGAGCTCGGGCCGCGGGCGTTCCGGTGCCCCGAGTGCGGGAGGGTCTTCCCGCAGGCCGGCCAGCTGCGGCTGCACCAGCGCTCCCACGCCGGCGAGCGCGCCTTCCCCTGCCCGCAGTGCTGGAAGAGCTTCCGGCGCTCCGACAACCTGCGCCGCCACCTGCTCATCCACACGGGCGAGAAGCCCTACCGCTGCACGCGCTGCGCCCGCAACTTCCGCCACCTGCACAGCCTGAAGAAGCACAAGTGCGTCGCGCCCTGAGGCCTCCGGTTCCGATCCGGGACGGGTTGGTCTTGGCGTGCGGCCCTACGGCTGCCCTGCAGCTGCCCGGACAGGGAGGAGCAGCGCCTCCTGCTGGCCTGCGCTCGGAAGGCGCGAGAGGAGCCCTTGTCCACCAGCAGCAGAGAACTAATTAAACCATTAAATCCGTAGGTGAGGACACAGGAGATAAGGGCCCTGGGGGGGTTCTGAATAAGTGGGTCAGAACACAACCCTACACCCCTCCTCAGCATGGCGGCATTTTAAAATCTGATCCGCTCTCTTCTCGGTCCGCCTGTCCAGAGAAGGAACCGTTCAGCTCAGAGCTGTGTCTGTCCGACCTGGTGCCTATGAAACGCTGCCCCCTAGTAGGCCTGCAGGTGGAATTGCATCCTGCAGTTCCCCCCCCCCACCTTGCCAGTTTCACTAGGAGACCAGTGTCACCTGCTGTCCCAGAATCCTTGGTGCTTCCAGGATCATTCTCACTGTGGCGCAGTCGTCCCTGTTCCCAACGAGAGATCGCAAGGATCCAACATCCCGACCTTCATTCTGGGTCTCGGAAGTGGGGGAACAGACAGTGGAGCCGCTTCTCCAGAACAAACATCGCGGGAAGAATGGGAACAGAGCGGGACACTCCACTCCATTTCTCTCTGGTCCACTCCTGTCCACTCCACTCCTCAGACCTGACCCTTTCCTCCAGCAGTCAGCTCTGTGGGAACGGGCCCAGATGACACGCACTGCATGCTGGGAAGGTGGCTGGAAAACTGGCATGTCCTGTAGCTGAGGATTTTGGTGACAGATGCCCAGGAAAAGCAGGTGACCCTGTGCAGGGGGGCTATCGGGGGAACGTGGAGGGGTGATGCAGCCTGTACCCCTCTCCGCCCACGCACCTTCTTAACTTCACTAACCGGCCCAGATGTGTCGCTGTAGCGGGTGTTGGGAGCACAAGCACATGCAGGTGATTAATGCACTTTCAACTAACGGTCAATCAATCAAAATCAGTGCCACATGATGTCCAAAATCGATTCATTGTTTCTACAAGTGTATTTGCAAGAATAAAGTTGTTGTTTTTGATGTTTTGTATACTTGTTGAAATGCCCACGGCAAAATATTAAAACAACCGTCGCCTCGCTTGCATCACAAGTGAGATAACTACCACAGAAACACCCCACTCTTACAGACAGCGCCTGCTACAACAGTGTCTCCCGTCACCACACACCCAGAACAGCAGTGTCTCCCATCACCACACACCCAGAACCTCCTTCAGAAGTGTCTCCCATCACCACACACCCGGAACCTCCTTCAGAACTGTCTCCCATCACCACAAACCCAGAACCTCCTACTGCACAGTGTCTCCCATCACCACACACCCAGAACCTCCTTCAGTAGTGTCTCTCATCACCACACACCCAGAACCTCCTTCAGTAGTGTTTCCCATCACCACAAACCCAGAACCTCCTACTGCACAGTGTCTCCCATCACCACACACTCAGAACCTCCTACACCACAGCATCTCCCATCACCACATGCCCAGAACTCCTACAGTGGTACAGTATCTCCCATCACTGTACATCTAGAACCTCCTTCAGCAGTGTCTCCTGTCACCATATACCCAGAATCTCCTATAAAACAGTGTCTCCCGTCACCTCCTACAGCACAGTGTCAAACTGGGGTGCTGGTTTGGAAACTGTGGCTCGGAGGGGAGAGCGCCCCCTGCTGGTCGACCAGCACCACTGAGGTCTGACGGTACTGACCCGGCCCAGTCCACCCGGATCTGGCTTACAGGGTGGGAAATCTGCCGAAAGGTCAAGGGCATTTTGCTCTGTCCGGAACACAAACCACAACTCTGGAAACAAGCTGTTGGTTTTTCTTTTTTTTTTACTGTATATCGTTAAGACAAGGCTGGCAGTTGGTGGTTTCATTACACATTAAAAAAATAAAAAATGATACACAGTAAGAGATAACGAGAATTCCACAAGGTGAGAAAAACAAAAGGAGAGAAAAAAAAATAAATCTAACTAAAAA